CAATAAAGTCCTGTTTGACATATCTGTCTTTATTGCATAAGGAATATTATATTTTTGTACCGTTTTCAACAGCTGCCGATATGACTGGCGCAGGAGGTACCTAAATTGTTTTTGATCCGCTCGTATAGCGTTTATTAGTTCAAATCGCGTATGATGTTTACGTTTTGGCGCCGATAGCGGAACATTATACCGCTTGACAAAATCTTCTAAAAACGCCTTCTTAAATTGAATAAAAGACGTTAGTATAGGTCGGTGTTTTGGTTTGCTCATGTCTCTTTTTATATATAGATTTATTATATTTTTCTCATTTTTATTCACCATGTTTTTTTTTATTACTACTATTTTTTATATAAATAACATTTATTTAAGGCGGTTGCAAACCAACAAATCTAACGAGGCATTTTGATTGGTTTGTCAATTTTTATTTTATTTTTTTACTGGCTAAACTCTACACGATGACTGCCTTTTTGGTGGTTTGGGCCGGGGGTAGGGTCGTATACCTACTCAAGGATCGTTGACAAAAACGATTTTAGAAAAATTATTTTTGACCTTAGGGTCGTATACCTACCCAGGGTTTTTTAAAAACGGCGCTTGGTCCTTATCTCTCGGTCCTTACTACTGTTAGAGGGTAGGAATCACAGTAATACTGCTGAACTGAGAGTTTGGCTGCTGACCTGCTGGGGGACACTCTGGCTTGCTTCTTAGGGAGTATCATATTCATTCTGACGTGATGAGCTCCTCATTAAATTGAGCTAATGTTCGTTTATAACACAACAGTTTCGCACTACCCGCAAAGAGTCAAGTCAGTCGGACATGACATACTTTAGAAGATGCAGGGCTTTAAGAGATACATCTCCAAGGGTGCACCGCTACAAATAAATTCCCATAGACTGCAATGATAAATCCCCACACTTTGCAATAATTTTAAAAATACTCACAACTCTCACAGGTGTCCAGGCTGCACAGAAATACACTGATCGACATGTCCCCTTTCATTTTCCTTTCAATTTCCGGGGGGTTGACCAATGAATTTTTGAGAAATTTTCACCAGAAGCAGACCACCCCTAAAATGAAGAAAATGTCCCTGCCCAGAAAAGTAGCCATTTTGGAAAACCATCCCTCTGCAAAATGGCCAAATAGTGCCATTTTCGGACCCAACTGCATCCAAATTACTCAGAATTTGAAGCCCCGAGTCCGGGCCAGGGGTTCAGTGCCATATTTCTCCAATTCCTCAATTTCATGGCTCTCAGGACTCTCTAATATAGAATATTTTCAGTGTATAACTTTTATTAATGAGCTCAGCGGACATATTTCTGGCCTAATTACCAGGGTGCACCCTCCATACGGCCAGAGATCGCTACAAGTGCAAACACCTGTGCCACTGTGATCATTATCCATTTTATGTTCATAAACTCTTAACTGGCAATAGGCCACCTTTTGTATCTTACCAGTTTGCCCACTTCATCACCAGGCATAATATCGAGGACTATGTAACTGCCCGATCCAAGCAATAGAAGACAACATTCTACATTAACAGTAAGCGTCGACTGGTGAGTGGGCAAGAATTAAACAACGATTAAAGCATACTCAAGAAGGACGGTAACACTCGTCTCTTTTGTTCAGATTTGTTTCACAAACCAAACAGACACGGGCACAAGAAACATTAATAAATAAAGCATGGATTTATTAAAAAAAAATAAATAAGCCGGTGCTCAGGGAGTGCGAATTTACAGATTATAAAGTTAAGATGATTAAGATGATTTTGCCCTCCTTTTCCATACATTTCTTGTTTATTTTATGAACTTCATTGATATGCCGCTTTCTGATCATTGAAACTATACTTCCACCCACAGAAAGATGAAATACTTGTCCTGTTTGGTTCAGGAGATGTGAAGGAAGAAATAAATGTTCTTACAATTGTTCCTTGTCTGCCTTACTTTTATATCTTGGCGTACACTTTCAACATGGCACGAATGCTTTGCCAAGATATAGTTAGGAATATTGTTATGCATGGGGGGCATTTCATTTTAATTCAAAATTAAAAACATGCCAAGCATAAATCAATAATTGACCTATTTTTTGAACGGTTGACATTCAGAATAACTTTGGACAAACTATGTAGAGTGTTTGGGTCTGTGACAAACATTTAAAATCTCGGTTCACAAACCTCACAAGGCATACTTTTTCGATATCCTGTAATTTTCCCCATTCTTCTTACATTCAGAAGCTGACGTACTGGTTTCAGCACCTCCGCGATGGCGCCGACTTCACTGATGGTTACCTTCGCATTAACCTTGTGCTCCGTTAATGGTGTATACTCTACGTGTTCAAGTGTCGGTGAGGCATACGCAATTATGATTGTTATTGTTAGATCGGATATCTCCAGCAATTTCATTCCACTTGAGAGCGCAAGGGCGCCAAATTATTGTTGATTCTGACCGAAACATTTCGACTAACACATAAGAAATATATTCAAAACAAGAAAAGCCGGATGTATTGAGTGAATGCTCATACGGCTCGATTCTCCTTCGAAGTGTGTTGCATTATATATCGAGTAAACTAAATTTTCTCCTCCTGGGACACAGAGTTAACACCGTGAGGATTTACGGTCTACTAAGAGGACCGTGTCAGCAGCAACAATCTAATAACTATTCCATGAACAGCCTCTGAGGAAGTTTCCTGTTATAACCTATTGCATTAAAGCTTTTTACACGTATTTTATGATCAGACATGCGAACTTTTTTTTTTCAGAAAGCGTACTTTGTCAGTCTGTGTGCAGATGTACGATTTTAAGATGTCAGTGTTTTCACGGCTGGAATCCTCAAACCATTCGTAGTTTAAACAAGAAAATCCGTTTGCTGTAAGTTTCACTTGTTTCTGCACAAAAAATGTCTAATGGCCACGTTATTCTACCTTGCTTATTGTACTTGTCGCATTTTTCATTTAATAATTTCTTTAGAATACTTTTTTTCAAACAATTACGGATTAGCCAGTGGACTGTCATGAACAATCCGTTGCATTGTACTTACATAACCTTGTTTGCTGGACGCAGTAGCTCAATTGAATGCCTTGAAAAAGTTTAAAACAAGTTTTCGAGGGACGCTTGTGAAAAACTGAATCACTTATCAGGCATCTTACCTGTTGGTTTACCAGAGATTTGCGAACAATGATATATGCAGAGATCCAACCCCAAAATCCATCCCACAAACGTAGCCCACAATCAACCCCCACGCACCACTGAACACCGCCGGCCAGCCAACCAGCAAGTCCTGAGACTGGTTTTTTTTTGGTCTGGATTAGCTATTTTTTGCCTTTAGATGTTGATGAAGTGATAGTGATTGATGGACAACCAAAATATCAGTGGCAAGAATATCTAAACAAGAAAGATCGGGTTTGTACACACTCGAATAATGAAAATGAAAATAAGTAAATGTCGTCTGGCGACGAGATTTCAATAGTCGCCTTAATACAGCTAAAACAAACGCAAAAAGCATCCACGTTGGCAGCGCAGTCACTTGTTGACAACGATGATGTACGCATTGACCCAGAGCGTAGAGCAGACGTTAACATCATAGACGAACACCATCACAAGACACCACAGCACAGACCGAGTAATCCACAAAGACTACAGGCCAGTCAAATCAAGCTACACACCTTTCAGAACGACTTTACCTGTGAAAGGAAATTCCAGACGATAATCAGTAAAAATATATGTGGAACTACAGCAAAATTTGTTGTCAGCAACAGCAGAATCAACTCGGCCCCACGTTCAATTCAGTTCAATTCAATATAACTTTATTATCCCATTGAAGGGAATTACTTTGGCCTTTTTGCACACATAAAACAAATTTAAATGTAAATTAAAAATACAAACTTTAAGTGTCAATAGTTGATAGCTACATAATAAAAACCTTACTAATACTATACGACAAACTGATCACTATACAACATTAAAAGTTATAAACAGAGAACGACGAAACTCCAACCAGATGGCTTCCTTGCCAAAAAGAAAGGACCTTGGGATTTCAGACAAGACTGTCACGACAATCACCAGCACGCTACATACAGCACAACATTACACACAGAAATTGACTAGGAAATACTAACATGTACTTCAGAGTAAAAGCCTGACCCAGGATATTAAGAATGACAAACAAATCTTTGTCAAATTCGGCATGAAACCAGGTGCAATACAATTTGCCCAGAAGCTGTTGCCAATCTTCAGAAATACAGTGGTAGGCCTTATGTATCGAGGAGACAACTTTGAGACAGTTATAGTAGTAGGGATTGGAGAGTTCTGGACCACACGCCCTTTTCACCCCCTTTCACACATCACACTCACCGCTCGCTACGCTCGCTCAACTTTTGACCCCGGCGCCGCGCGCTCGCTCGCTGGCTAAACAACTCGTGACTAGCGCCGGGGATTTCCACTTCACTGACCTTGAACTTTTGACCCCGGCTGTAAACAACTCGTGACTGGCACCGACCTGCACCAGCACTCACTCGCAAACAAAAAGGGATTTCCCCTTGCTTTTCCGGTCTGAACTCATGACCTCTACTTAAAGCATGGCTCTGTTCAAAGCAAAACACGTTATATTTACAACCGCCTTAAATAAATGGTCTATATATAAAAATAACAATATACAAAAAACA